CAATTGGGGTTGTAAGTCGACTCGAAGCGAATGCTCAACATTCGTAAAAATATTCGACTGTGCATATTTGTATTCCCTTTATTATCGAATAATTTGTGATTCGTATCCAATTGAATGAAGATAAACGAATATGTTCATTGGATTTAAAATTCATTTTAAATTTGTATATTTTTTTGTTTTATATTTATATTCAAATATATTTCTTGTATTTTATATTTATATTTATTATAATTTATATAAATTGTATAAATAAAATCTTATATTATATACAATATATATAATTACATAATTATTATTAACGAATCGAATATTCAATAATTTTAAGTTGTATTCAAATAAATTTTCAATATAAATTATAGGGATAATTACACTTTGCCTGCCTAACTTTCCGGAAATTTACACTTTGCCCACAAAACTTTGTTTTCTTACATACCTAACTTTGCATTTTTTGTACACTTTGCCATTTTCGGTCACCGCCGGCCTCATAATCCAACACGTGGCTTTGGTGTCTGATTTTCACGTGTGGCCGGAAATGACCGAAAATGGCAAAGTGTACAAAAAATGCAAAGTTAGGTAGGCTAAGTGTAAGAAAACAAAGTTTTGTAGGCAAAGTGTAAATTTTCGGATAGTTAGGTAGGCAATGTGTAATTATCCCTAAATTATATTGTTATTCAAATTTGAATTCAATTTTTTACAACTATAAATCACGAATGCCGCCATCTACATATTACATAAGAATTACTATTTACTAAAAATAGTAAGAAAAAAAATGTGGGAATATTAATTACATTCTATTTTTATAATGTTTTTTTATTTTTTATTAAAAAAATATAAATAAATTATAAAAATATTGAAATTTGTTATGTTTAATGCTACCATAAATCATGGAATTTGTTATATTTAAATTTCAAATATTGAAATAAAAAAATCCAGCTTTATTTTAGTAACAAATCTATAATAATAAATGATATGACAAGGGCAACAAGTTAGATTATGAAATAATTTGAGTATTTGTCCGCAGATAAAGCAAGATTAACAAGATTAAAATTAATTATCTAATTAATTATTATATGAATAATGAAGAAACTTCCACTGATGCTGATAACCGTTCCCTGCGAGACTACCAACGTGAGTTCGAGAGATTGGGGAATAAATGATTATTCATTTTTTGTTTAAATAGATTTATGAAGAAAAATTTATATTTTTGCCAATAAGATTGTGAATGGATATCAAATAATATTACTACAAACCTAACAATTAAAATATACACATCTGATATTTTAATTTTCAACCGTTTTAAATTAATATTTTGTTATTTTATAACATATTAATTTTAATAATTATATTTTTATCTTATAGTTTTTCATCATTTGAAAACTTTTCAACAAAATAAAAAATTCTGAAATTTCTGTATAGGTTTATGTATTATATTCCAATGCAAGGAATAATAATTCTTTCTAACAAAATACTCCAAATTATGTATTTCATACTAAATTCATTAGCATTTGCGAGATATACACAAATGCGTATAACATATTTCCGTGAAATTGGTAAAAAAAATAAAAATAATAATGGATGGTCGGTACAAAATATGATAAAAAAGATATAATCAAAATCACTTGACATACAATACATTACATATACAATGTTGATAGTAACAATATAAAACTGGCATACAATTACATATACAATGTTGATAGTAACAATATAAAACTGGCATACAAGACATTAGACATATAGACTATATCTACTGTGTAAATATTCTCTCATAATGTTCAACGTGAGATATTAGATTGGAATACTTATTATTTACTCAAATAATATTTTTGATACTTTTTTTACACATTCATTACTCACACACATAATATTTTAGATACTTTTAAGATTTTTTTTTTCTTTTGTCCATTCTATACATTAAAGTTTATATCTTTATATGTTTTTAGACATGTTGTCTTTACAAAATAGTTTAGTGGATGTTTAGGTGATTTAACATTTTTTAAGAATAATGTAGAATATTTTAGATATTTTTACATATGTTATTTTAGATATTTTTAATACTTTAAACATACATGTTTTGTGTTCTTTTGTACATGATAATTTTATATATATTGTACACAAAACCGATATACCTAAATTATATCACATTTTAATCTTAAATATTTAATTTATTATTATTAATTATGCACTAGTTCAAATTACAAATCAAATCATATATCTTTGATTCGTTTAAACTCTACCTGAACAATATGTAGTCAATTACCCAATTAATACAAGTAATATGCTAATAGGACTTTCTCGAGTTTAATAAAGTAATTTGTAAAATAAAAAATAAAATAAATAAAAATACACATAAGGTACACTAGTCGCTGGGATATGAGTTAGGAAGATTAATGAATTAAATTATGGATCGTTGAAAAGTTATCAAAAATCTCATCCGTCCATATCTAGAACTGCAATGTACTTATAAAGTAATTTGTAAAATAAAAAATAAAATAAATAAAAATACACATAAGGTACACTAGTCGCTGGGATATGAGTTAGGAAGATTAATGAATTAAATTATGCATCGTTGAAAAGTTATCAAAAATCTCATCCGTCCATATCTAGAACTGCAATGTACTTATGTCTCTCCGCACGTAGCTTTGTACTCCTATCTCCTTCTAATCTTCTCTGTACCTCATCTCCTAATTTATTTTCAGACATATTTTTTCGTTAACTTTATTTGCAATTTTTTTTTTCTTATCCACAAAACAAGTTATTTCAATTGAAGGATCTTAATTTCCGCAGTTTTCTTGTTTAGTTTGTTAGTTATATGTCAGATCTAGTTGCAAGATCGGTTTTTTATTAATTTTTTATGATTTTTTTGGTCAATTACAAATCAAATTCACTCAAATTTCTCTTCTCAACTTATATCTCCTTGTTTTTTCAACCTTGAATGATTTCAAAGATGTGTTTTTGAGATTGTAGATCTCTATTCAACATATGTTTTTTATCCGTTTCTATTGATTATTAGTCAATTCATATGAATAGATTGTTTAAAATTGGTTGGTTATCGATAATTGGAATCATCTTTGATATAAGGTGCTGGGATCTGTTTGATTCATAAAAGATCTATATTAGTTTCTAGATTTGATTACAAGATTTGATTTTTATTCGATATTTATCAATTACTAATCAATTCATATGTATGGATTGTTAGAAACACGTTCAAAAGATAATGAATTTTAGATTTATTTTTCTCTTGTTGGTTTCTAATGACTTATTTGATTGCAAGATTTGACTTTTATTTGATATATATCAATTACTAGTTAATTCATATGTATGGATTGTTAAAAACTCGTTGGTTATAAAAAAATATATAAATAAATAATGAACTAAAAATATATATTATAATTATATTGGTAATATAATTAATGAAATCTTAACTAAACACGTCTCTTATCTTAATTCTCAACAATTTTAGCCATTATCTTAATTATCATCTCTTACCTTATATTTTCAAGTTAGATAAATTTTAGCTCATTCATGATCTTTTTTTATTTATATAAGTTGATAATTTTTAGCACATTCATCATGTTTTTTTTCCAAGATATATTTTTTCCCATTTTGAGTCCGTGTCTTTGTTTGCGTATTGATGAACTAAAATTATATATTATAATTATATGATAATATAATTAATAAAATCTTAACTAAATATATCCCTTATCTTATTAATATTAACCGCTTGATTTACTGATGTCACAATTCATTAAAATTTGTATTGCGACATGGATGAAAAAATTATACGTAAAACTAATAATGTTGTGTACAAATAATTTTTTTAGAATTTGAAATAAAATAACAATGTACAGTAGTTTTTGTTTTATAAAACTTTTATTTATTTATTTTTGTATAAACTTACAATAACTAAATTCTTTTACCTTTTTTGGTGAGATTATTTTTCACTTACCCGTGTAGTAAACATGTATCATAATATTAGTTTATGATAACTAATTGTATAAGAAAATAAGGAAAAGATCAATTATAGATTTAATTGAATAAATAAATATTTTATGCAATTCAAATCTAATTATTATTTTATAAAAAAATACTAATTTTTATCAATTCCTAATTCTGAAGCATAGTTTTTTGCCACATAGGATTTCAAAGCGTACGAGTCTGTCACTTAGACTCAACGCATTCTGCAATTATATATAGGGTGGATTTTTACATTTTTAGTAAATACATTTATATTTCATTGTATGAATAACTTGAGAATAATTTTTTATTTGTAAATAAATATTAATAATAAATTTATGTTCATTTTCTATATGCAATATTAACCAACAAACTTATTAATACTTTAAAAATAGTTATTTTTCATATATACAATATGAGTGTCAAATTGAAGATCTTAAAATGAAAGTTAATTTAATATGATACATACAAATGGATAAGAAATAAAAATATATTTTCCATTATTGCGTTTCAAGAGTTATTTTAAATTTAGTATATATTTTTTAATTTACAAATAACTATTTTTGGAGCGATTAATCTATATCCGTCTATGTTAATTTATAGTTTCAAATCCAATAAAGTTTTAGATTCAAGTTCTGGTTCAGGTTCAGGTTCAGAGATGTCGGGGTGTCGACCCAATAGCAGATCGATTGACAGCGTCCGGCATAACGAAAAGGCATCAACACGGTCGTGCTCCTCTCACCCAAGTCGTAGATTTTCACCGCCCTCCCTATCTTGTCCGTGTAATATATGGAATTGGGTCGGGTTACTCGTCTCTCGGAGGAGGAGACGCGGCAAAACCCTCTCCAAAAATAGTTGATGAATATGGTCCACTCATCCACACTGTCAAGCTCCACACACTCCACCCGACCATCGCCAACCTCCAACCGGAAGACCTTAAACTCCACACTGTCCACGAGAATATAGCCTTTGAACAATTTCATGACCAACAGTAGCCCCCGGCCACCCGGTTCCTCGATGAGGTGGCACTCTTGCCACTTCATGTTCCTCGTTATCGGGACCTTAGGGTTTGACCCAACTCATCCAACAACGGTCTAAACTCGACCCCACCGTCGACCACGTGGACGGTCACAAACTCAAATTCGCCATCGTCTGTGTCGACTACACCGTACGTCTCCCCTCGGAAGGAGGCCAAGGCGACGAGCACGACTCCTCCACCCGCTTCGCCAGGTGGCGAACAGACAGTGGTGCCGTCCCTAACCCGGAACACGGTTCGCTCCTTGTCGTTGGCTGAACAGAAGATGACGTGGCAGTCGGGCTCGGTCGGGGGCCCGGTCAGGACGCACCGGTTGTAGTCTAACGGGCGGTGCAGGCAAGGAAGCCCGATCTCGCGCATCGATATTGGATTCCACAGGAAGGAGTTGCCGGTAATGATGTTCACGAGGACCAGCCAGCCGTGGCCGGAGCCGAGTATGCGCTTGCAATGCATGATGGGGATTTCAGTGGTTTTGCACCGGCGGTCAACGAGACTGTACAAGGACTGTCGGTGGAGATGGGCGCCGTGAATTGTGATGAGCAGGGGAAGCTTCTCGTGATTCTCGGCCATCTCCAATTTTTCTGTGCTTCTGCAAACAGAGGGAAACCAACTAATTAATCAACAATGAATCTATATATATATAATAAGAATTAACATTTTTCAAAAATAGTAAGCAAAAAAATAGGGAACATTAATTGCATTCCATTTTTGGTATGTTTTTTTAATTTTTTTAATAAAAAATCAAGTAGCATTTAATGCTAGCATAAATCATGGGATTTGTTATATAGATGCATATTTAAATTTCAAACTTCAAACAAAGCACGCCTAAATGTATTTTGAATTTTTTAGGAGAAAAATTTAACAAACACGTTGAAGATTTCATACAATACATATATTTATATATATTATCTCAACATATAGGTTAATTAGTTTCATTTCTAAACAATACATATTTAAACAATATATAAACAAATATAATAATTTGTCGTACAATACAGAAAAATATATAAACAATATATTTATATACAAATATAATAACAATACAAACTATATATAAACAAATATAATAACTTGTCACGCGTATATTTCGTACAATACATATATTTTATATATATTTTCTTAACATATAAGTTAATTAGTTTCATATTTAAATAATATATATTTTAAGAACTTAAAGATTCATAACATTACTGATGTCATGTATATTTATAATATATTGTCACATACATTTTCCTACAATTGGTAACTTTTTTAAAATTATTTGAATAACTGGAGGTTGATTTGTAATTTAAATTTCAAATTCATTCAAACATTTAAAGGAAAGTATCATAAGCAGATTTTTTTGATACATTTCATTTTATCTCAACTTACATATAATCATTTCCGAATGATTTGTTTCTCATAACATCGGACAGAATTACTAATTGCATAGAATTCAATTATGATTTCGAATTTATATTACGGATGTTTAATCATTGCATAGAATTTCAAAGATGTTTATTTATTATAATAAAAAAAGAGATTCTAAAAAAATATTTGTGTATATTTTGTAAAATGTTTGTACAAAATGTTTTACTTTAAATTTATTTACATAATTTAAATTAATTACATTTATAAATAATATGAACATACATTAAATATTTTAATTATATAAAACAAAAAGAAGAAGAAGACTACATATATAACTTGCATAAATAATAATAATGAAATTATATTACAATAAATTTTATAATAAAATAATATAAGTATTATACGAGGAACAAGATTATGTAAAATTGTTATTTTTCTTATATCAAGGAATATATATATATATATATATATATATAATGAAATCAAATTTATATTATTATAAACATGTGAGCGAGATAATATATTAATTAATTTACGAGTTTGCGCTACCAGACTCAGGTTTAATATTTCGACAAAAAAAAATGACGTTGATGAAAAGATGTAAAAAGATAAATATCAGACTCTATTATTTTTTAGGCCTAAACGGACAAGCCCTATGGTCCACTCATTCAATATCTCCCGTGAATCGCACGAGCTACTTAACGGACAAACTCTGTGGAAATGACTCATTTAATACTTATGTCCCGTGCATCGCACGGGCTACGTACTAGTTAGTACAAAACTGTACTGTAAAATCACACAAATTGAGTGGGACTAGATTTACCGATCGATAGAGATCTAATTAACGCGGAGACTAAAAGGAAATTTTAGTAGATTCTTCGATTGTGTGTGTGCGTTTGTACGGTTTACTTTCTTATATGTATTAGGAAGGATGAAAGGAAAATTAGTTAATTCCTTTCCCTTGCCTGAGTAGGAATGTTTAATTATGGTCACATCGTAGAATATTTAGGAAATTAATTAGTAACAACTTCTATTAAGGTTGTACATCAGATATTTAGGAAATTAGTTAATTCCTTTCCCTTGCCTGAGTAGGAATGTTTAATTCATTTCTTGTGTTTTCTACCTTTCCTTAATAAAACAGATCTTAATCGGGGACACAAGTGTTGTACATCAGTCAGGGTTAATTATTCGGGGCCCGGCCCGCGAGGGGAAGGGGACGGCGTACAAGAGCATGTAATGCAACTTATAAATTAAAATTTCTCATTAAATAATATTTATAAATTAAAAATATAGAATCAACATATAATGCAACTTATTTATATTAATTTATTGAAAATATTGTAAAAAAAATTAAATTATTTAGAATTACATAAAACATGTTTATTTAAACAAATGATGAATAAAAAACATTGAAATAACGAATTCAACCCGTCAGCCTTCCATAGTTGCCAGCTAGCCCTGCCGGCGGTCGCCGGCCCTTGGCCGTTTGGCTCCCTCCCCTATTTTTCTGCTCCGCTACCTGTTTTCTCGGCGTTAGGACTCGTCGGCTGCAATCGGAGTTCGCCTCTTCTGGTGCCGACTCTTGATTTCACGGCGGCGAATCCTGGGTTGGGCGGTGGTGGAGCCGTGGAGCGGTTCTCGGGGGGGAAGCGCCTCAATTGCTTGGTGACCTAATTTGTGCGATTGGGGCAAGGCTGCTTTGTCGTCTTCGTCTCCCCGCTGCTTCTGGCTTTGGAGGCGCAGGGGTCGTCGAGTTCTTTTTTCAGCCAGTGGTGTTGGTCGGAGTTGGAACGCGGCGGCGCGATGGCTGAAGGCAGCTTCCAAGCGGTTCGGGGTTGGGGTTGGGGCCGTGACACTTTTGTCCATTTCGGGGCAATATGGTGTTGCGGGCCTGGTTCGGGGTGGATTGGTGTTGTCCTGGGGTTAGGGTTTCGACACCGTTAGGCAACCGAGTGGTTTGGGCAGTTTTGGGGTAGATACTTCTGGCTGTGGGACTCACCTTCGCTTTGTTTCCGCTGGTTCGGTTTGGTGTGCTACTTTGGAAGGGCTCGATTAGTTATGTTGCTTTTGTTTTGATTAGTTCAGTGTTTGTTTGTTTGTTTCAGTGTTTTTGTGTGGTTTTGTCGAGTCTTGGTTGGTGTGTTCGTTTGCTTTTGTTTGGGAGATGAATTCAGGCTAGGCATTGTGCAGTGGCTCTGTGTTTCATTTTCCTTTTTTCTTATTATTGAGTTATCTAGGCCGCCATGTGCGTGTCCTCTCAGTTTGTTGTTTTGTGGTTCTTAGGCGTGTTTTTGGTTTGGGCTGGTGGCCCCTGTCTCATTNAAAAGAATTCAAAATGAATTATTTATTCTCACCCCCACACTGACCCACAAATAAGTAAATGTGATGTAATGAATGATGTAAAAATTAATTATTATAATGGCGAATTAAGAACGAGCTTTAATACATATACGTATTAGAAATTTTTAAATAAAAACCACAAACATCAACCACGGGAACGTGAGATGAAACCAGATTTCTATTAGTAAATAAATAAATATATTATAAAAGTACAAACTTAACTGACAGTTTTATATTGCCATAGAACACATATAGCCGAATCACAGAAAATCTGTTTGCCTTGAAGAAACAGACGCCCCGATATTGTGCAACGAGTATTACGCATTTTCTTCCAGGATAAGACGGCTCAAAGTGTGAAGACTGCACTAGCTTACACACTCACCTCGATCAAAATCTCAGTCGCCAAGAATTCTTAATTTTTCTTAAACTTGTAGAGAATGAAAGAGACTACGTATATATAAAGTGATCTTTTTCTTTTTTTCTAGGTGTGTTTTCATAAGCTAGCATGCACTATTTATAGTGCTTCAAAGTCATCTTCATTGAATGCATGGGAGGTGCCTTAATGGTTTCATTAAGACAAAACTAATGAAACTATGAGTTTCATTCTCACTTCTCAAAACCGAACAAACATAATGCTCGGTGAGAAATGCTATGGAGCCAATGGTTGGCTCCTTTATGGAGCCAACCACCAATGTTATAGTGCCACGTAGGCCATGTGGAGTTAATTATTTTTTCACATGGCCTACGTGGTACTATAACATTGGTGGTTGGTGCCATAGCATTTCTCAATGCTCGGTTATGCATTTCAATGAATTGGGACATTTACATTAAACACATCCTATCTAAGGATTCCCACTATTTACATTTTCTCCTTTTGCGTGTAACTCTTATTACAACATATTTTTCGATTACCATGCTATTAATGCATACCTAGTACCAACATACAATATGTATAAGCTCCTTTATAAGTACACATCAGAGTTCGTACTAAAGTTAACAAACACATAAACTCTATTGAAAAAACAGTGAGAATGTAATAATTTCAGACTCAAGGAAAAATTTAATAATATCAAAAACTCAAGGTTCTGGTTCAACTTCTTGTGGTTCTAGTTCAAGTTCAGGTTCAGGAATGTGTTAAGCTTCCTGTGGTTCAAGTTCAGGTTCAGGAATGTCAGGGATGTCGACCCAATAGTATAACGACACATAGCGTCTCGCATAACGAAAAGGCATCAACACGGTTGTGCTCCTCTCCCCCAAGTCGTAAATTTTCACCGCTCTGTCTTTTTCATCATCATCGGTGTAGTATACAGAATTCGGTCGACATACTCGTTTTCGAGAGGTGCGGCAAAAGCTGCTCCCCAAATTGTTGATGAAGATGGTCCACTCATCCACACTCTCGAGCTCCACACACTCCACTCGGCGGCCGGCGGCAACCTCCACCCGGAAGACCTTAAACTCCACGCCGTCCTCCAGATATTCGCCTCTCATCAACTTCATGACGAGCAGGAGTCCCCCGTTTCCCGGCGCCTGGATGAGGTGGCAGTCGTACGTCTTCACGTTCTTTCTCCTTGCATATGGGACTTTTACGGTTCGACCCAACTCGTCCAATAACGGTCTAAACTCTAACCCACCGTCGACCACGTGAGACTAAACCGTACATCTCCCCTCAGAAGGAGGCCACGGCAGCGATCTCCACTTCTCCAGGTGGCGTACAGACGATGACGTGTCAGTCCTTGACTCGGAACACAGTCTGCTCCACGTCGTCGAGGGAACATAAGATGACGTGCAGTCGGGCTCGGTTGTACACACCGGGTGTACATGTCCGCGTCGTGGAGTTTGGGGAGGCTGACCTTAGGGCCGTCTCCAGAAATTTGGAGACCTTAGACAATTTTTTTTTTTTTTTTTNTCCATAGAATTTCTCATATTGGCCGACCTATCTTATTGTCAAGAAAGATAAAGGAATGTTAACTTGATATTTTCTACTTTCCTTAAGTATAACAAATTCTAGATTTTCTACTTTCCTTAGTATAACAGATTCTAATCGGTCCTTAGTATAATAGATCCTAATCGGGCAGGGTTCATCATTCAGGGCCGGCCCGCGAGGGGAAGGGTACAGCGTACAAAATAGTGAACATCATATAATAATCAATTAATTACAGTATGTGTTGGAATTTAATTGTGTTTAGTTTTCTACAAGTGCTCGCACTTGATTTGAGTGACGATGAAGAGTTAATTGTTTAAATTAATATGATATAAAAAAAAAAAGAATTTGTCAAAAAAGGATTTGTCTACGGTTATTGTCTACAGTTATTTTATTTGATGGTTAAAATCCCTCACAGAATCATTCCGTTACGGGATTGTAGACAAATCTTAAAAAATAATAAGTTATTGATTGATAATTAAGTATGTGCTAATATTAAAATGTATGTTCGTTAAATAATATATGATGATTAAGGATTTGTGATTTTCACATGTATTCGAGAATGGTCGTGAAGTTGATATGGTTAATTATATTGTGCCTTTCTTGATTATGGGATTCATATTTCTAATACCTTAGAAGAAGAAAAACATATCTTATTAGCTAGCAATTATTAAATTTAAGCAGTACGACAATTGTGTAATATATGGATGCTAATTTAAATTTGTTAAAGAAAAAATAAAAATAAAAGTTTTTATTTAATATTTTTAAATACTGTTATTTTATAGATCAAATAGATAAATTTATTTAATCTATAAATAATAATATATTATTTTAAATAATATTTAAAGTTAATATTTCTATTATAAATAATTAATTTCTATTTCATATGTAGTATGGATATCAATATCATATTAAATGATCGAGATTACTAGTGAATATCATCTTGAATCAATTATTTCGAATCAACATCATAACTGTATGAATATTTTTAAAAACAAAAAGATCGAGATTACCAGCGAATATCATCTTGAATCAATTATTTCGAATCAAAAGCGAACTTGGATGAATATTTATAAAAACAAAAAGTGATTCAGAAACTAATGAGTAATCGGAACTACCAAGTCAGTAACAAATCAATATGTAAGATCCAATTCAAGGGAACTGAGATTCTTCAGTCTTGAACCAGCAGATGGAATCCAAAATATGTTGACACAATTAGAGCAGCTTTGGTCCTGATGTCGTAGGCACCCAAATTTATCTTGCTTAAAAATATGTAAAAGTGTGAGCAATAATTATATCCACGGGGAGAAATAAATTAAATCTATCAACAATGTGATTAAAAAGAGGGATTTTGAATTAATAATCTAATTAACTAAAAATTACCTATCAAACAATAAATAAAAATAATAATAACATAAAATTTAATAAACAAAAATAAATATAATATGAACTTGCCTTTATTGAATTGATTTTCACCCTAGATTGTTCCACTGATCATCGATGCAAAAGTATAAATTCACAATTCACGCAAATGCCGTTGAATATGAATTCTACCTTCTAATTTAGTCACGCAAAATAAATCCTTCTACGAGACCCTTATAACTAGTTAATTCCCAACATCGTGAAGAATTATTCTAGCAATAGCATTAAATACAAGAGACCGACAGTCCAAGAAATAATTAATTAATCCGTTAAATATTAACTTGTTCAATTATTTCGCCTAAGAACGACAACGCCTAAATCTGGTCAATTATCTATCTTAGTTGCTTCTAGTGAAAGATGCATGATCTAAATCGGACTCAAGTAACAATCAAGCAAATAAATCGTACGCGAAGAATAATAGTTAGTCAATCTATCAACTAAGCATAACAATCATAAAAATATGCACACGAAACAATGATGCGAAAAATATATAAATTGGAATAAAAACTAATTCGATCTCACAGTATTAGGTCTGGGGTTTCGATCGTTTTCAAAAGATAAATTAGGGCTATCAAAATCCAGGATAAAATAAAAAGAAAAGATGAAGAAGAAAAAGAAAATAAAAGAGAAGAGCAGTCGCCGTCCTCGTGCTATCTTCTTGCGTGAGTTCTGCTCCCAGCAGATCCCTCCTGTTTTTCTAGCGTGCTGCTGGTATATTTATAGGTTAAGCATTATTTTTGGGCTTAATTGTTAATTAGACCCAATTGAGAAATTTATTCCAATTCAAAAACCGATAGTTTCCACTCGAAAATACAAGATAATGTCAAACATATGTCAGTTGAACTTAGATAGTTAATATAAATCCCAAAGTTGTTAAAACCGGATCGGACCGGCCGGTTCGATTGGTTCAACCGGGAACCGGCCGTCACACTGGTTCTGTTTGAGACATTGAATCGGTGGAACTCAGAACCGGTTAAAAACTGGTAAAACCGGTCACGGTCTGCACAGCAGAGCGGTCCAACAGTTTCTTTTGAGCAAATGTGATGAATGCTATAAATAGTTGAATGCTTTTCTTTTTGTTTCCGATGTGGGAGTTCAAAACTAAAGGCACAGTGGGCCTTGTATGGGCCTGTTATTATTGGTGTTATAACTAAAAAGTGAATGCTTTTCTTTTTGTTATTGACATGCGTGGACAATTGGCAATAAAGCAGGTGAGGCGGTTTGGTTGTTTTTTTATTTTTTTTATATTACATTATTATTATTATTTTATTTGTTTATTTGTTCTTTTCCTTAGGACTATAATTTATATATATATATATATATATATTTAACAAAATCCAAACCCCAACTAATTTGGAGTTTTGGTGATTTATTTATTTCACTCCAAACATATATAACCTACATAGCTAATATAATTAAATTAAGCATGATTCTTTATTTATTTTTTTCCTTTATTTATTTAGACAAATGTCATTATATACTATAAATTTAATGATAAAAATATATATATTATATATTATATATAAAAAATAAATAAAAAATATATATTAATCAAATCGGTTCGACCGGTTCGACCACTGGTCCGACCAATGAACCATTGAACCGATAGCTTCACCAATTTGATGATCGGTTCGGTTTTGACAACCTTGATAAATCCTAAATTAATTCACTAAATCAACACATATTTCTGACTTGTCAATCTTCAATGTTCTGACTTTAAAAGACAGTGATTTTTTAACACTTGTTAATTAATAGATGTAATGTTAATCCACATAGGAATAATGGTAAAATGCTAAAAAATTGAATCAAACTATTATCTTCAATACATCAATTTGATAAAGAAATTATTTGCATAGGTGGATCAATTAAAATAATTTATTGATACAAGAACAATAAAAAATTAAACCAAATAAGTGAAAAAAAATACACAAAAAAGGGCCCGATCAATCAATATATGTTGCGCAGCAAATAAGTATAAAATTGTCACACAGATCAAGCTATATATGTTCTGAGGCTTGTGGGACAGTGGGAGATCTGTACGTGGAACACTCGCTCCCGCCGGGACTGAGTTGTTTTCGCCGCCCAATCATCTTCTCAGCCAAAGTCGAGACCGCTGGTCGTTAGTGTTCATACCACAGCCTCGGGGAGGTACTGATCGTCGCTTCGTCTGCGGTTGTGTTTATTAGGTTCTGGGGTCATTTGGTGCGGCCTGCCGTCCATTCGATCCTTCTTTCGAGCACTTCGGCGAGGCGTGTTGATGTCCTCGCGGCGGCTCCCTCTCCCCTCCCCTGGTGTGGATGGTTTTTCGGAGGCCAAATTTGATTTGAGAGCAGACTCTTCTTCAGATCCGACTAGGCGGCTTTAATGGCCGCAATTTTCGAACTCGAATTTCTGATTTGTGCAGTCTCGGATGACCGAACGTTGAGTTTGTTAGGTGTAGGGGATGTCTTATCTTCTTTATTTGTTTATTAGGTGTGGGTTGCTTTTGATTTTTAATTTTGTTGTTTTGTTTCGTTTAGTGCAGTTGTGTCTGCTTTCGTCTAGTGTAGTTGTGTCCGCTTTTCTCTCCTTTGTGGAGTTTGTGTCTCTTTTTTGGAGTTTTGCTTTGTGGTTGTTCACCTCCTTGATGGAGTTTGTACTCCCTTGTGTGTGTTGACAATGGGAGTTGGTCCAGTCTTTTGGTTCCAGTTTGTCACTTGACACTTTGAGTGTACTCTTTTGAGTTTTTAAATCATTAATATAATTGTCGTTTGAATATGTGTTGCAAAGACTGGGATTAAATTTACCCATGGATCTAGACAATCTCATGTCCTTATATCTACTCTACTGTAGAGGTTATTGTATTCGAGAGTAGAGCTAAATAAAAAGCAAATTTAATCTTTAATTATTCGCGCTACATTTTACTCTACACCAAGTATTTTCTTTTTATCCTCATTATATTGAATTATTTGAATGGAAAAATATAACTTCACTAGATATGTTATTTTACACATTTAACTATTTAAATTATCATTATATAAACTAATAAAAACATAAATAAATAAAAATATTTGTATAAATTTACTAAAACATTTATCAAGTATTTATGAAAATATTCACTAAGATAGAAGAAAAGTTTTAATCTATAATTTAATCCGTAGAAAAAAAATTCCTTATTTTATTCATAGCCATATGATTTGTAGAACCATTTATCACATATTAATATATTACATCTTCATCATAAATTTTACTATAACAATATATATTCATAATTATTAGTAAGAAAGCTTAACGTAATTTTAGAAAATTTATTAGTAAGAAATTCCAATTAGGTGGATGGTGTTCCATGCTAAGAAAGTAGGAAATTTATTAGTAGCAAGAAATTCCAATTAGGTGGATGGTGTTCATGCGAAGAAAACCTAACGTAATTTTAGGAAATTTATTAGTAAGAAATTCCAATTAGGTGGATAGTGTTCAATGCAAACATCTCGATGTTGTTTTTTATCTTGTTTTTGAATAATGTTTTCTATTAGTTAATGTTTTTTATCTTATTAGTAGTAAGAAATTCCAATTAGGTGGATGGTGTTCCATGCTAAGAAAGCCTAACGTAATTTTAGGAAATTTATTAGTAAGAAATTCCAATTAGGTGGATAGTGTTCCATGCAAGCTTAACGTAATTTTAGGAAATTTATTAGTAAGAAATTCCAATTAGGTGGATAGTGTTCCATGCAAACATCTTGATGTTGTTTGTGATCTTGTTTTTGAATAATGTTTTCTTTTTTATCTTGTTTTTGAATAATGTTTTCTATTAGTTAATGTTTTTGATCTATAATGTTTTCTATTAGTTAATGTTTTTGATCTTGTTTTTTAATAATGTTTTCTATTAGAAAATGTTTTCTAATAGCTCAATTATAGGATCTTGTTTTTTATGATAGTAAATTTGGAATCTCGATTAACTTCTATTTTTTTATTTATGCAATCTAAAATTTGAATAA